CATGACACAAAAGGAAAATAGGATGGGGAGGAAAGAGGAAAATAAGCAAGCGCAGGCATCAGCATAATTTTTCTTATTGTGTGAAGCTGCCACAAATAGGCAGTGGGCACCTGTTGAAGATTCCAGCCATGCTTTCTCCCCCAGGATAGACTATTCTTCCACCCCCTTAAAAAAAGAAAGTCAGCTGGCATTCTGCGACCACTGAGCTTGCTCATGCATCACTGGGTCATTTGGGGTGGGAGGCAATTTCTCTACTTTTTAACTTGTGGACATCTTAGGATTCTTCCAAGTCTGTTGATCTTCCCTTAAAGCAGTTTTGGCTGAACAAGGACCGGGCTATGAGTTTGCTATTTGTAATACCTGGTATCATGACCAGCTTGCATGGAGGCAGCTCAGGGAGGGGAGGAGCCAAATGGCAGCGGTGTCGGTGGAATGGGCCCTGCCACCCCATATTTCCTTCTGCTGCAGAAGCTGCCAATAGTCTCATCAAGCTCATGTTTCGCAGCACATTATCAATATGCAAACTGTGCAGGGGAGCTGCAGAGGTGTGCGGGGGAGACACAAAGAAACTATCAGAACAGAAAGCCGCATTAAACTGTACAAGCGCTGTGCTTTGTATAAAATTCAGAAATAATAATTTGAGTTGGAATGATGGGGAATCCATAATAAATTGGTTCCACTTCAGAAAGAAAACAAGGTAATTCAGAAATCCGGGATCTGGGTTGTTTGAGAAAGGGAGAAATGCAAATGTATCCCAAAATGGAGCTATAGTTGAACGGTTCTTTCAATCCTGGTTGAAATAACAGAGCAGGCGTCCACCTTTCCGGGCATCCAGGCAATGGTTGGCTGTTGTTCATTGGGGCTGGTGGGGCAGAAGTAAGGGGAGCCCAACAGGAGTTGGTGCCAGAGCCAGTGACAGGCAGAGACACTTAATTCTAGTCAAATGAAGGCTGAGCCCCATTCAGCACCTGGGGGTAAGTAAGAGGTGAGGTTGATTTCATAAGAAAAGGCACCCCTTTGGTGGGAGGAGGGCATGAGATGCTCCAAATAATAGAATTACAGAATTGTAGAGTTGGAAGGGACCCTGAAATCTTGCAATGCAGGATTTTTTACCCAACATGGGGCTCAAACTTATGACCCTGAGATTAGAAGTCTTATGCTCTACCAACTGAGCTATCCCAGTCAATTTGGACAACCTCAGATTCAGCAGGATGGCTCTCATATCACCTTGCGGTCTTCTCTTCCCCAGGCTAAACATACCCAACTCCCAACTAGTTCTTTGCTGATATTTGACAGTGAGCAAGCAGGCAGCCTCCTGGAGAGGCAATTGCAGCTACTTTGCTCCTGCCTGGCCATCCTGCTGCTGAATTAAGCTGTGGTTTGACCTAGTGTGCTGCCCAAATCTGGCCTTGTGGTCAGCTCTCTACAGATTATAAGCAAGCTTTAGCTCTATGACTTTGGAGGCTGTCTGTCTTGCTATTTTTATTTTTTAAAAAAATACTGTTTTGAGCTTTGGATTGGCACAAATAGCTTCAAATCTTTTTGGACTGGTCCTGATTTGACCTGATTCGGTTTGAGAATTGGCCGGGTTTGTTGCACAGCCCTGGTCTACAATGTGTAGCACGTCTGGCAGAGCTAAACCACGAGCCTGGGTTCAGATGGCACGCTAGGTCCAACAGTGGCTTGGCTCAACTCAGAAGGACGTGGAGGAGAAAGGTTGCTGTGATCTTAGCTGGGCTTTCTGAATTGCAGCGCATTGGGCTAGGTGACCATCGAGACTGGTTGGGTAGAAGCCAGGGAAGCCACCAGTAGGTGGAGCCAGAACCAATGGCAGGCACAGCCAGTGAGTTCTAGTTTTGCCACTGCCCTTCTCTCTGATGAGCTCCACAAAGGGTAACATTGAGAGTAAAGAGGGGGAGGAAGTTGACAAGCAGGGCCCACCTGTGAACTGGCTGTCAATAAGGAGGAAGGCAGGTGGGGGTGTAGGCTGAGGTGGGGGGGCACTGACCCCGTCGCCCAAGCAGACTAGCCCTACCATGTGAAAACACAGAGATAAGCTGTAGTTTAGCCTGTGCCAAGATGGTCCCTATGGGACGTGGGTGGTGCTGTGGGTTAAACCACAGAGCCTAGGACTTGCCGATCAGACGGTCTGTGGTTCGAATCCCCGTGACGGGGTGAGCTCCCATTGCTTGGTCCCTGCTCCTGCCAACCTAGCAGTTCGAAAGCACGTCAAAGTGCAAGTAGATAAATAGGTACCGCTCCAGCGGGAAGGTAAACGGCATTTCCATGCACTGCTCTGGTTCGCCAGAAGCGGCTTAGTCCTGCTGGCCGCATGACCCGGAAGCTGTACGCCGGCTCCCTCAGCCAGTAGAGTGAGATGAGGGTCGCAACCCCAGAGTCGGCAACGACTGGACCTAATGGTCAGGGGTCCCTTTACCTTTAAGATGGTCCCCCCCCCCGATGTTTGGCCTCCAACTCTCATTAGCCCAACCAGCACCTGGCTGGGGCTGATGGGAGTTGGATGCCAAACATCCGGGGGGGGGGCAGAGGCGGGGACTTTTTAAAGCTGGAACTCACTGGAACTCACTTCTGCCACCTCTCAGTTCTGGCAGCCATTGCAATTATAAGAGAACAAGGGAGGTGTTCCTGGTGTGTTCCAGCACCTCTTTTTTCCTAGAAAAATAGCACCGGGAAAGCACCCACACTGGGATACCGAGGGACGGGCACAGCTCAGTTCAGCATCCTCTTATCCACCAAACCAAATGAGCTGAGCTCACATGTGGCCAAGTAGAACAAATTGCTCCACTCCCCCTCTCTGTCCTTTCCAGCTGCTCGGCTGGCTGGTGTCTGGATTGATGGTGGGATTGAAAAGAGCCAGAAAAAGGTCTTTGGAGAAGCAGGTTCTGGAAAGGGTGGCCTGCCCTCTGGATAAACCCTTTTGCCTTTCTGTAATTTCCCCCTAATTCTCTCCTTGACGAAGATAAATCATGCTCTTTGGGGGGCGGTGGAGAGGAGAGGAAGAAAACCAACCGGGTTCTTGATTCCTATGCACTGGGGATTGCCTTATGACCTCCAGCTTTGCCTGATTTCCTGCTGCATGTGCCAGTTTCAGTTGTGGCCGTGTCTGGACCTGTTGTCTAGAGAGCTCTTTGCCCTTGCAGGAGGGAGTGGATAAAGATCCGGCCTGCTGGGCCAAGACAGCTCCCCACCCTCTCTCAGAAGGATCACAGGCACCTCCTGTGTCTCCACAGAAACCGTTGTTTTGGACAACATCGCCTGTGCTTGAGTTTTCCCTGATTAAAAAAAGACAGTGGACATTCTCTATTTTCAGGATGCTGTTCCAGCAATTTCAAGGAGAGAAATGCAATAAAATGATGCATCATTAACTGGGGTAGCAGGACTTCCTCTTTTAAAAACTTTGTGTCTCACTGTGAGGCGCAATGTTCTTTTCTCCAGGAGTCCACCTGTCCTTCTCTATTCCCCAGATGCAATATGATTCAGGGATGTAGAAGGGGCGGGGGGAGAATGGCAGCCATCACCCCCAAAAGTGGGACCCCACTGGCCACTGTAATCTCCCCACCCCGATGTTCCAGAATGACAAAGCATGCTGGCAGAATTAAAATGGCATAGTAGCTGATGAATACAAACCAGTTCTTTTTACACCAACATTACAAGCAACAGGATTTTTTTTTTTTAAAAAAAAACCCTTCAAAGGGGGAATGGTCTCTTGCAAACAGGGCTGTGAAAAGCAGGGGGTGATTTGGGCTCAGCCCTAGGACAATTAGATATTCGCTAAATAATTGCTTCTTGGTTCATAAAGCACTGCAGGTCTAGCTATGCCAGAATAATGGAAAACGGCACATAGGAGACAGAGGGAGGGAAGGCACAGGAAGTAAACTAGTGGGGGGACTTTTTCAGGTTGAGGTGCACTTTCTGGACAATATTCTGAGGAACAAATGCCAGAGGTGGGTGGAGCCAGAGGTAAAAGAAGGGGGAGCAATGGATGGAAATGTTACCATGCTGCAATGGGCTGCTTTCTTCACGTTCATGCCCCCCCCTCCATTTGTCTTCAAATCTCTGGAGGGCTGCCACATGGAAGATGGAACAAGCCTGCTTTCTGCAGTTCCAGAAGGCAGAACCTTAACTGGTGGGTTCAAATTACCTTGGGGGAGATTCTGACTTTCCGATGGTGAGAGATGTTTGGCAGTGGAGAGGGCTCCCTTGGAAGATGGTGGACTATCATTTGCTGGAGGTCTTTAAACAGAGGTTAGAGGGCTATCTGCCATGGATTCTTTAGTTGTGATTTCTGCATTGCTGCGGGTTGGACTAGATGGACCTTGTGGGTCTCTTCCAGCTCTAATCTCATTTGTTGTCATTTGAATCCATTGGTTGGCTGATTGATGGATTGGTTGGTTTGGGTTCTACTCTCTAGAGCAACAGAAACTAAGATGGGATATTATCTCTCCACTTGGGGTGAGGGGATTTAACAGCAGCATGGCGTAGTGGCTAGAGTGTTTGAAAAGCACCTGGAAGGTCAGGGTTCAAATCCCCACTAAGCCATGCAGCTCCCAGGGAGACTTTGGGATAGTCACCAACTCTCAGTCTAACCTAACACATAGGGTTGTTCTGAGGATAATATGGTGGGGGGGCATATATACCACCTTGAGCTCCTTGAAGGGAGGAACGTGATATATAAGTGCATTAAGAAATAAGAAGAAGAAATTTGAGGGATTCCTTGTCCTGAGTGCATGCTGAACCGTCTGTCTCCTGAGGCCTTTTCTTCATGGATTATATCATCCCTGCCTGGCTGACCCTTACTGCATACATGCCATGTATTATTCAAGGAGCGTAATTGCCCTAATAAAAGGGACATAAAGATTGCAGTGCAAACACTCAGACACCCAGGAGTCAGGGAGATTTACTTCCCCAGGGGCTGCAGTTCTCGCACTGGACAAGGCTCTACTCTCCATCTATAAAATCAACCAGGAGAGGAGGTGCTGTCCTGAGATAGCTCAGTTGGTAGCGCATGAGACTTTTAATCTCAGCGTCATGGGTTTGATCCCCACATTGGGTGAAAGATTCCCACATTGCAGGGGGTTGGACTAGAAGACCGCTGCAGCCCTTTCCAGCTCTATGATTCTAGGTCTCTGCTGTCACTGGGTGTGTCTACACCAGAAGTGGGGAACCTCCAGCTCACAGGTATCACTAGGCCCACCAGATCACCCAGTTTCGCCCACAAGGCCAGCTCTGACAAGACACACCCACCTGCCCTGCACTTGAAAGATTTGGCCTCTTGGACCACAGTCTCCACTTCCATGAAGAAGGACTTGCAGCAAGAGTTAGATTGCACCTCACAGTGGCTGGCAAGAATGCGCTTGCTAGGAGTTGTTCGACTACCTCAGAAGTACATGTGAAAAGGATCTAGGCATCTTAGTTGAGCACAGACTTGAGATGAGTCAACAGTGTGATGCAGCAGCAAAAAAAGCTAATGCTATTCTAGACTGCATCAACAGACGTATAGTGTCCAGGTCAAGGGAAGCAATACTACCACTCTATTCTGCCTTGGTCAGACCACACCTGGAATACTGTGTCCAGTTCTGGGCACCACAATTTAAGAAGGATATTGACAAGCTGGAATGTGTGCAGAGGAGGGCAACCATATTGTTGCCCAGGACTGACCTGCTGGGAGCCTGAAGGGCCCTGCCCTTCTTCTCTCCGCCTGGCTTGGGGTGGGGCCTGACAGACTCCATAAAGGACAGGGCAGGGAGGGCTCCGTTTTTGTTTTTAAAATTGCTTTTATTTTTTATCTATGTCATTTTAAATTGTGATTGATATCAATGCTGTATTCTTGGTTTTAGATTTTATTATTTATGTGGAAATTGTTTTCCGTTTGGTTGTGTACTTTTTGATGTGTTTTACTTATTGTTTATGACTTTTGTCATGTTGGTAAATGTAAATCTTGTCATGTTGTAAGCCGCCTTGAGCACTATTTTTTAACTATGGAAAGGCGGCATACAAATAAAATGATGATGATGATGATGATGATGATGATGATGACAAGGGGGAATGTATGCAGAAGAGGGTAACCAAGCTGATCAAGGGTCTGGAAACCAAGCCTTATGAGGAACGGCCGAGGGAACTGGATATGCCTAGCCTAGAGAAATGGAGACTGAGAATTGATAGGATAGCCATCTTCAGACATCTGAAGGGCTGTCCCATGGAAGATGGAGCAAGCTTGTTTTCTGCTGTTCCAGAGGGTAGAACCGAACCCAATGGCTTCCAATTGCAAGAACAGAGATTCTGACTCAGCAGCAGGAAGAACTTTCTGACAGTGAGAGCTGTTCAGCAGTGGAACAGAACACCTAGGAAGGTGGTAGACTCTCCTTCATTGGAGGTGTTTAAACCGAGGTTAGATGGCCATCTGTCTGGGATCCTGCAGCTAAAAAATACATCCCTGCATTGCAGGGCCTTAGACTAGATGTCCCTTGGGGGTCCCATCCAGCTCTACAGTTGTATGATTCTATGGCATGGAGAGCCTAGAACCATGAACACACTGCAACATTTTGCCATAGGACTCACTGATTACTGTCAGGAGTGCATGCAGGAGCCAGGCCCTGTGACCAGTAGGGCTTCGCAAAACTGGGGCCTTCCTAAGTTTGTTCTGGAGAGGCAAGGCGCAGCTGCACAGGTGAGGCCACTTGGTAACTCACTGCACCTGGTGGCAAGAGCCGGGAAGGGATATAAGGTCAGCATTTCCCTTCGACTTTTTGCCGCAGCAACACGCTTCCTGCCTTGCTGCATTTGGCTTCTTACTTCCTGATCCTCGGACCTTGGCTTCCTGACTCCCTGCTTCGAGATCCTCGGACCCTTGACTTCATGACTCCTTGCTTCTTGACACTCGGACCCTTGACTTCGTGACTTCCTGCTTCCTGACCCTCAGACCCCTGGCTTCTGGACTCTCGTTCCTGCTCCCACTCCACCATCTTGCCCCCGGTCCCGACATCCTCAGCCTGGGAGTTTGATCACCCGTAGACCGGCCATGAAAATTACTACCATTTCCCATACTTTATATGTTTATATCCTCTGACCTGATGGGTAACAAGGAGAGAGCAGGTAATCTCAGGAAGCTCAGTCCCACACACAGTGGTTCATGCTCAGCTTTTTGCTGCTCACCTTGAGCACAATGCTCTCTTCCGCCCGCCCACCCCCCCTTCAAAGCCGGGTCATGTATTATAGTGATGCTTCCCCTCGCATCACGTCTCGGCCCTTCTCCAGACTTGGCATCAGTAATAGCCAGTGGATGGAGGTGTCTGCCAGCCTAGGCGGTAGTTCAGAAGGCAGGAGGACAGGTCTTGGCTTTGGGCAGCGTCCAACAGATTGCAGAGAAAGCTGCTGATGTTTCTCTCCTTTCCCCCACCACACTTCACACACACACACACACACACACACACACACACACACACACTTTCCACAACTGCAGCCTGGCTGTTACCGACAGTTGTCAACCTGCCAAGGCTGAAGGAGCCACTACAAAAATTAATCAGGGAATGGAGAGACTCGGAGCTGGGAGTCGTTCCAGGCAGGGGCTACTGAACTTCCCAGGGTTTGCTCATGATTGTAAATAATCTCTTCCCTTTCCCCACACAGTCAGTTCCAGTAAAAAAAATGGGGGGGTGGAGTAGGGATATGGGGTGAAGCACTGGGTGTTTTAGCGCTGCCTCTGAAACAAATGGCATTGAAAACACTGGGATGTATGACCGTGTCAATCAATTTCACATGATGTGAATTTCTAATGCACAGGAGATAGATAGATAGATAGATAGATAGATAGATAGATGATAGAGCTACATCTGAATGCCACCTTTCCTTCAGAGACCTCTTTGCTTCCTGACCTGTAAAGCACTGCAGCTATTAGCTACCCTACCTAAGTCAGAGATGGGTTGATGGCTTGCCTTGCAAATAGACCTGAGAGGCAGGAATGGGAGACTAATCCATGCATTGCAGATCTCAGAAAAGCTCTGGCAGCTCCCTAATGCAGGGAGGAGGAAGGACGCCCCCCATCTGGTTCCTAAGGGGGAGTGGCATTTGGGGGAGGCTTTCACCCAAATGAATGGCTGCAGCCTCTCATATATTGTTGGGGTAGGTAACACCAGGCCTGAGGGCCAAATCTGGCCCTCCAGTCCTTTCTGTATGGCCTTCAGGACTCTCCTCAGGCCACACTCTCAGTAGAGCATGAGCCTCTTGATCTCAGAGTCATGGGTTCGAGCAACACTCTGGGAAAAATGATTCCTGCATTGCAGGGGGTTGGACTGGATGACCCTCGTGATCCCTCTATGATTCACACCCTCCTTGAGTGCTTTTGCCTAGCTGGGATATAAATGCTGACCATGCCTCTTGCTTGTCCAGATGGAAGGTAGAAAGGCATGTCTGCCAACTCCACAAAGGGAGAATGTACATTTGTTGTCCCACCCACTTTGCCTCTGACTCTGCCCACCCCGGAAGTCTGCCCAGAAAAGAATGTGGCTGGTGTTTTGGATCAGGTTAGCCATATTGATTTGTATGCTGTTGGTGGATTTTTGTCATTGTCTTGTTGGGCTGTGTATGGGATAAAGGGGAGCCATACTGGGATGAAGATGTCTTCTTCTATTTGTCAGTTTCAGTTTATTGGTTAATTTTTCTAGTAGGGCTGTTTCCCATACTATTTGGTACCATTGGTCCATGCTTACTCTTGACAGGTCTCTCCAGTGTCTGGCTATGATGCTTCTGGCTGCTGAAAGTAGGTGGGTTATGAGTTCTTTGTGGTGTAAGTGGGCATTATTGTCTTGGAAGATGTTTGGTAAGGCCAATTCTGATCCAAAACACCCACCCACCCCACTCACACATGAAAAACAAAGACCACCACAGCCAACCACAAATGAATAACCACACCCTAGGCCAACCCCACCACCAAAGTAACACAAGCGAACAGCAAAGAACCTGCACAAGCAACGCTGACACCAAACCCTACATATAGTAAGTAAAATAGAAACATTGCTACCCCACCTCACCCCCACCCATCTTCCCCCCGCTCCACCTCTTTCCCTCTTTTCTTCCTAATGTCTCAACAAATGAAACTGATATGTAAGAATGATACATTGGGGGGGGGAAATATGAGAGAGAGACATTGCACACACTTTTGTAAATCAAGAAAATCTTTTTAAAAAGAATGCGGCCCTGAAACTGGAAAGAAGGGATCCTTACCCCACAGATATATAGAACAGCAGCAGACAAGCCCCTTTTAATTGCCTGCTGGCCTGCAGAGAAGGGAGCAGCAACCACTGCAAGTGAGGGGGAGACCATCCCCTCTGTTATTTCCCTGCTGTTATATATCTACATTCATGTTGTAACTTCCCGCTCTTGGATAATTAGCCAATATCTATATTTATATCAAAGCCACATGTGTTGTAGAGAACAGCCAACGTTCCTCTTTAGAGAATGCCTGGCAGGCTATAAATAGCCCCCATCTGTAATTATCTCCAGAACGATTTGTTATAATGGGGAGGGGGGAGGGCTGGGAGAGCAAGGACATCAACAGGGGAAGGAAATTCAAGGCGGCTCATTCAAGTGGGAAGTTCAGCTCGGCATTAAAAAAAGAAAAAGAAAATCCCTCATCTGGTCCTATCAGGGGCAACCGACTCAACTTGACACTGAAATAGTTGAGGTTGGGTGGAGGAGGGAATCTGACTTGACTGGCTACGTGCCTCTGAGCATATCCAAAGTGCCCCACCCTCCCCGTTTCTTGTGCAAGTTCAGGACCTCCGTTTGCATAGGCATTTTGGGTTGCCAGGTCAGGAGCAAACCAGCCCCAAAGATTTCAGGGACCAAATCTGAGTCCTGGGATGGTGGTGGCCTGCAGTGCTGTTATGGGGTCAGGCCTTGGAGACGGAGGTTAATGGGAGACTGGAGTGGAAGCGGGCAGCCACTGCCCCCCCTCCCCACAAAGAGTGTCTATGCTATATTTTGAGACCAGCTCCTGCTAGATTTTGAAGTTTTGAAGTTGCTTGCAGAGTCTTCATAAAAATTGTTGTTATTATAATTATTTAAGGCACTCTAGTCTGCCTGGATTGTATGGAAGTGAGAGCTGGACCATAAAGAAGGCTGATCGCCAAAGAATTGATGCTTTTGAATTATGGTGCTGGAGGAGACTCTTGAGAGTCCCATGGACTGCAAGAAGATCAAACCTATCCATTCTTAAGGAAATCAGCCCTGAGTGCTCACTGGAAGGACAGATCCTGAAGCTGAGGCTCCAATACTTTGGCCACCTCATGAGAAGAGAAGACTCCCTTGAAAACCCTGATGCTGGGAAAGATTGAGGGCACAAGGAGAAGGAGACGACAGAGGACGAGATGATTGGACAGTGTTCTCGAAGCTACCAGCATGAGTCTGACCAAACTGCGGGAGGCAGTGGAAGACAGGAGTGCCTGGTGTGTTCTGGTCCATGGGGTCACGAAGAGTTGGACATGACTAAACAACAAGTCCACCTGGAATTTCAGGCCCTCCGCCAGCCACCTGGAGTGGGCCAGGCAAACCTGGGGACTTCAGATGAGACTTGGAGGTCTGGCATAAACTTCTACCTGCTACATGCCGGATGAATGACTGGCGGTGGCTGTGGCTGTGGCCTTCAGACCCTGCTTGTGGCTTCCTGGAGGTATTTAGAGTCAGAATTGAGGAGTTGGAAAGAACTCAAAGGGTCGTCTAGTCCAACCTCCTCGAATGCAGGAATCAAAACTAATTTGGCTGAACTTTGCTTTTAAAAATGAACGAACGAACAGCAGGACAGTGAGCAAGAGACGCCTTTAGCCTCCTAGATCCTGCCAGTTCTTAACTCCACGGTGGAAAACTCCTTACCCTCCAACATTTCTCCAATGAAAATAGGGACATCCTAAGGAAAAGTAGGACATTCTGGGATCAGATCAGAAACTGGGACAGCTTCTGTAAATCCAGGCTTGTCCCTGGAAAATAGGGGCACTTACAGTGGCGGAGCTTCATGCTCCACCACCGGGGGGCGGAGAGCAGGTGGGGGCAGGGCTGGCACGCACCCCGGGGCATGTTGCACCCCCTGTAGGGACGTAGCTTGCGTCCTGGGGGTGTGACTTGTGTCCTGGGGGCGTGGCACCCAGCGCGGGCAGGGGTGTCAGCCGCGATGGCAGCCAGCCGGGATCATGCTGCCGGGGGCGGTGCGCTCCCCCCGCATGCCTCTTCCTCTGCCAGTGGGCACTTAGAATGTCTGCAAATACAACGCAGAAATTAACAGTCAGGGAAATGGGGTAAACTGCCTTGTGACTGCAGCCGAAGAATAATTGGAAGAAGGCAACGGTGTATCTGATGAGCGCATGCCAGCAGACTCCATTTCTTTCACGTTGTGGGGGTGAGGAGAGCTGTCCCAGGGTTCATTTCCATGGTAATAACAGCATCCTGAGAAACCTCTCTGCCTTTCCCCACATAGCTACACAGAGCATTGTCTTTAACTGCCTGAGATTGCTATCTCTCCCTTTGATTTTATCAGCTCTTCTCATCGGGAAAAGGAAACAAAGAGGCAGGGGCAGGCCTCTCTGAATTTCCTATGCTAAATTATGCTAAAAGGAGCTGTTCCAAAAGGAACCCTGGCAGAGCCTGGATAGAAAAGCAAACTGGATCAGACCAAAGGCCCATCCAGCATGGGGGGAGGAGTGTCATCCCCCCCCTCCAGCAAAGTGGGAGGGTGGGGCTTGCAAGCACCTCTCAAAAGGATGCATCTGTTTCCAATGCCTGGCTTCCACAGGTAGACTGCTGCTGGATATGGAGATTCCACTGTAGCTAAAGAAGACGACGACCTGACCTGTACCCTGTGATCGTCCCCTGAGGCCCTTCTTTGTGCGCCTCCTCCATGGGAGGTCCAGAGGGTGGCAATACAAGGATGGGCCTTTTCAGTGATGGCTCCCTACTTGTGGAATGCTCTCCCCTGTTACATAACTTTCGGCACCACGGCAAAACATTTTGCTGTTTCATCATGCCTTTAGCTTTTAATTATATATGGTCTTTTTGTGTGGGCAGGATGTTTTAACCTGGGGTTTAAAAATTTTTTTTAAAAAAAAATATACATATATCTTTGAGATTGGTTTTTAATGCTGGTTTTAATGTATTTTTGTTTGTCTGAAGCATTGTAAAATGCTTTGAGCTGCCCAAAACCAACTAACAAATTTGTTTGTTTGGTCCGTAACATTTATACGCCACTTGATAGAAAAACAAACAAAACAAACCTCAAAGCGGTTTTTCCAAAAAGATGCAACAATAGAATTATCACTAAGAAAAATTAACAATAATTTTAAAATTTTGAAAAGTTAAGAGCAGTAGGCTAAAAAATTATTATTATTATTATTATTATTATTATTATTATTATTATTTTATTGTTTCTACCCCGCCCATCCAGCTTGGTGTCCCCAGCCACTCTGGGCGGCTGCCAACAGATTAAAAACAGAACAAAACATCACACATTAAAAACTTCCCTAAACAGGGCTGCTGTCCCGGCTGAGGACGTTGGGACCGGGGGTAAGATGGCAGGGTGGGAGCTGGAATGAGAGTCCAGAAGCCAGAGGTCCAAGGGTCAGGAAGCAGGGAGTCACGAAGTCAAGGGTCCGAGGGTCGAGAAGCAAGGAGTTAAGAAGCAGAGGTCTGAGGATCAGTAAGCAAGAAGCCAAACGCAGCAAGGCATGAAACAAGCTGCTGTGGCAAAGAGCCGAAGGGAAGTGCTGACCTTATATCCCTTCCCAGCTCTTGCCACCAGGTGCAGCGAGTTACCAAGCGGCCTCACCTATGCGGCCGCGCCTTGCCTCTCCAGAACAAACTTAGGAAGGGCCCAGTCCTGCGAAGCCCTACTGGTCACAGGGTCCGGCTCCTTCACGCACTCCTGACAGCTGCCTTCAGATATCTTCTAAAAGTCAGATCATTGTTTATTTCCTTGACATCTGGTGGGAGGGCGTCCCACAGGGCAGGCGCCACTACCAAGAAGGCCCTCTGCCTGGTTCCCTGTAACCTCACTTCTCACAGTGAGGAAACTGCCAGAAGGCCCTTGGCGCTGGACCTCAGTGTCCGGGCTAAACGATGGGGGTGGAGACGCTCCTTCAGGTGTACTGTGCCGAGGCCGTTTAGGGCTTTAAAGGTCAGCACCAACACTTTGAATTGTGCTTGGAAACGTACTGGGAGCCAATGTAGGTCTTTCAGGACCAGTATTATATGGTCTCGGCAGCCACTCCCAGTCACCAGTCTAGCTGCTGCATTCTGGATTAGTTGCAGTTTCCGCATCACCTTCAAAGGTAGCCCCATGTAGAGTTATCTCCAAGAGGGAGACAACTAGAGCATGCACCACTCCGGTGAGACAGTCTGCGGGCAGAAGGGGTCTCAGCCGGCGTACCAGATGGAGCTGGTAGACAGCTGCCCTGGACCAGAGGTGAAGCAACCTGCTCCGGTACCCAGAACTCAGTACATAACAGTGGTACTCGTCCCAGGGGCGTGACACATGTCCCGGGAGCCATGGTGCATGCCTGGGGGGGTGCCACCAATCAGGGGTCGGCATTTTGTCACACCCCCCCCCCCGTTGGAATGGTACCCAGGGCAGACTGCTCCCTGCCCCCCTTGGAACATCCCTGCCCTGGACACAGAATTGACCTGCACCTCCATGGATAGCTGTGAGTCCAAAATGACTCCCAGGCTGCGAGATTAAAACTCACATCAACTTTCTAAACATCTAGGTAGGCTTGTTTAAACAGATATGTTTCTCTTGGGTGTCAAAAGGAGTACAGGCATTGTCCGACCAAAGCAAAATAGAGCAGTACTAAGATTTACTTTGACCTGAGCAGTATACTTCTGTTGATGCAGCCTAGAGTAGCATTAGCGGTTTTTGCTGCTGCATCACATTGTTGACCCGTGTTTAGCTTGTGGTCTACTAAGACTACCAGATCCTTTCCACATGTATTACTGACAACCCAGGCGTCCCCCATCTTATATTTGTGCAGCTTGTTCTTCCTGCCTAAGTGCAGAACCTGCCATTTGTCCCTAGTGAAATTCATTTTGTTAGTTTTGGCCCAGTTTGGGTCCAATCTGTTAAGTTCATCTTGGATCCCGATTCTGTCTTCTGCGGCATTAGTTACCCCTCCCAGTTTGATGTCATCTGCAAATTGGATGACAAGGTACTCCAAAACTAGGGTTGCCATATCTTCTCTTTTTCCAGGACACGTCCTCTTTTTCATGAGTCATCACAGCAATCCATAGTTAAAAGCAGAAGTTGGCAAATGTGTCCTCTTTTTTGCTCTTCAAAATATGGCAACCCGACCCCACTCAGCGGTTTCATGTAGTGTTAAAAAGCATGCGGGATATAACCGAGCCCTGAGGAAAATGCCACTCCCCCCCCCCCCCCATTGAAGGCGCCAACATCAACACTCAGAGCCTGATCATCAGCAATGGAAGGAAAGGTCGGATCTCGTGGAGACCAAATGCTGTGTATATAAATAAGGAATATGATGAAACTAATGCACTCCCAGCAATTCACTGCCTCTGTAAACAAGATTTGTTTGCTCCGGATAATAACCGCCCAGTTCACCATTCCTGGGCTTGCACCACCTCCCTCCCTAGATCATGTAAACAAGCTTGTTTGAAATCCATTTCTGTGGTCTGCTATCAGCTAACGTTCTCCTCCTTTGCCTTGGGTGATTTTATCCCCCCCTCCCCCGCCTTTCCAGTCATCTAGGGTGTTTTCAAAATAAAAATTAAAAAAGCGTAAGCTTTCGCCAGGGGTCTGTCTTATTTAATCTTGTAACACTTCCTGTACATTGCAGACATTATATAAATAATGAATAAGAAGAAGCAGTTACACAGTGGTGGAGATTTTTTTATTTTGTACTAAAAAAAAAACTTGTAGGCAGAACGAGATTCGATAAATGGGAGGGGAACTTAGAGGGAAGAATCGCTCCCCCCAGTACACACACACACACACACACCTCCACAACCCGTGCTAGAAGTCAAGAAATGAAAAATAGGTCAGGTGTTTTAATATCTGCATTAGTTCAGAATAAATCATGACCCTCCTTTTTATTTTTTTATTTTTTAGAAAAATGCAAGGGATGAAGTGAAATTCTGCACTCCCTGAGCCGATATACAAACTGAAATGCAGCGAACTTAATTGCTGTTATCCGAATTTTATGGTGCCGTTCTCCAAACGAAAGCATTCTTTAAAAAATGCGTAAGTATAGATATAGATCTCTTCCATCTATAACTATTGAATTATAATAGGGGGATTGCTTGCAAAAATTTCACAGATTAGGCAAATTTACATCCAATAATGTGCATATTAGAAGAAATGCACACAAATTTAATTCAGTCATATAAATATATATGACTGCACTAAAAATATATATCACAGCTAACGGCACAAACAGGGGGAGGAGGAAAGACTCTACAAAAATGCTGTCCCTTAATCCATGCTCTGACGAAGGAGCAAAATGAGCAGGCAATATCATGAAGTATATTGACAGTTCATGAAGTTATGCCAAGTTTCCTTTCTAAGCTGGGAATCACGGGGCATGTATTTGAAATGGCAGCCAGATGTTCAGAGGCTTAGTAAGGGCAGATGGCCAGTCAGTGGCGCCATTCCAACTGCCCATTGGCTTTTTGCCTGCAGCCTGACACAACAGAACATTCAGTCAGTTAGTAAGACTCATAGGGTAGGAGGAAGTTAGAGATATGCGATGTTCTCCCAGAATTTAGGTCAGCCATGTGGTCCTGCTGCCTGCAGCAGAAACAACACAAAGAGTTTTGTGGTTTCTTAAGGACTAGCATATTTATTTGGTCATACTTCATAAATCAGAGCCCACTTTTGCTTATTCTGCAAAGGGGTGAATCCAGGGCAACTTCTCCAGGAGTAGCAGAAGAATAGATAGATAGAGAGATATAGATAGATAGATGATAGATAGATAGATAGATGATAGATAGATAGATGATAGATAGATCGATAGATAGATAGATATAGATAGATGATAGATAGATAGATGATAGATAGATAGATAGATAGATAGATAGATAGATGATAGATAGATAGATAGATAGATAGATAGATAGATAGATGATAGATAGATAGATGATAGATAGATGATAGATAGATATTGTGGACAGACATGTACCTATAAAAGATATGTTTAACATGCATGAATTGTTATAGGGAGGTTTGCATTTGCAGAATTCCTGTTTTGCCGAGAACTGTGGCAAGTGCAGAAGGTGCTCGTGCAACTAAAGCTGCGAAAAGGAGAGCGGAGACTTTTGCTTCAATGTTATGTTAATTGATGACTCATCCCTGGGAGTCCAGGTCTCTCTCAGAAGCTGCCAGATTCTTACTTATCTGACTTAACTGAATCTCACCCTGGGACCAGAAAGAGAACTGTTCATGGACTACATTAACAAGTGAGAACTTAAAGAAAACCTAGCTGCTTTGCTAGTTGTTTAAGAGCAATGGGCCGATTTGTATTTACAACAGGTTTGTGTAACAAGTTTAAAGACAGTCTGTGGCAAAAGTTTGGAACTCGTTCTTGGCGTGGAGAGTTTGTGGATTCATACTCGGCACTAGGCCCAGATCAGGGAATTCCACTCATGTGGCGCTGTGGGTTAAATCACAGAGCCTAGGACTTGCTGATCAGAAGTTCGGCAGTTTGAATCCCCGCGACGGGGTGAGCTCCTGTTGCTCAGTCCCTGCTCCTGCCAACCTAGCAGTTCGAAAGCACGTCAAAGTAGATAAATAGGTTCCGTTCCGGCGGGAAGGTAAATGGCGTTTCTGTGCGCTGCTCTGGTTCGCCAGAAGCAGCTTAGTCATGCTGGCCACATGACCCGGAAGCTGTTCGCCGGCTCCCTCGGCCAATAAAGCGAGATGAGCACCGCAACCCCAGAGTCGGTCACGACTAGACCTAATGGTCAGGGGTCCCTTTACCTTTACCTTTAACAGTACGTGGCCCTCTGGGTTTAGTTGAACTCCAATTCCCACCCACCCCTGCCATGCTGATGGGAGCTGATGGAACTGCCTGGGGCTGGTGGAAGTTGGAGTCTGACAACATAGAGGGTGACTTGTTTCCCACACACCCGGCAGAGGCAGCTGCAGTACAGTAGAATATAGTAGGCTGCATATCGCAAGATGAGCATTGGAAGGCTGTAGGTTGCCTTGCGAAGCGTTTCACCCAGTGGCTTGAAATGCACCCGGCCCGTTGTAAATCAGTCCTAAGTGCAAGACCTCAGAGAGGCCAGGGGACGCTGGTCCATTAGGGCAGATGGATTGATGCCTCATCAGCCTCAGTCTGCTCTCAGACGCCTGCTTGCCTTTTTATTTACAATATGTCCAGGGGGGGGGTGTAGCTCTGCTTGTCAGCTTCCTCTTGCTCAGGGCTCATCCTGATTGCTTTTTGCACTGTCTTTCTAGGCACAGCCCCACACTTAAAAGTGCTGTGTTCGAGTCCCCCCCTCCTGCAAAAACCCACTCTTTACCACTGATTGAGAACAAACAGCAATCCATGGAAAACCCAAATTTCTGCTTGTTCTGATTCAGCATTAAAGAGCAGGTTTTCACCAAGAAAGTACTGACCCGCCTCCAAAAAATGGTGTTTGGACATGCACTTTAAAGCACCAACTTATGCCTAGAAAGTGAGGGATAAAAGGTGAGTGTGGATGAGCCCTCGCTTTCAGTATTGCCCTTGCAGAAGTGGGCAGGGATGAGGATGGAGGAAAAATGAGTCAGCTTTGCCTGTTTTTGGTTAAACCACAGAGCCTAGGACTTGCTGATTAGAAGGTCGGTGGTTCGAATCCCCGCGACGGGGTGAGCTCCCATTGCTCGGTCCCTGCTCCTGCCAACCTAGCAGTTCGAAAGCACATCAAAGTGCAAGTAGATCAATAGGTACCGCTCTGGCGGGAAGGTAAACGGCGTTTCCGTGCGCTGCTCTGGTTTGCCAGAAGCGGCTTAGTCATGCTGGCCACATGACCTGGAAGCTGTACGCCAGCTTCCATGGCCAATAAAGTGAGATGAGTGCTGCAACCCCAGAGTCAGACACGACTGGACCTAATGATCAGGGGCCCCTTTACCTTTACCTTACCCCCTACTGTTGGGCTCTCTGCCTTCCACCCTACCAGTTCCAATGGGCAGCAGCTACCACTGGGCATAGGAGATCAGCCACACTCGACGATGATGCTCGCTTCGTGACCTTTGGCCAGGCAGGACCTTCTCTTAGCAGGAGCTGCTACCCAGTTTCCCATTCATCCATCTGCCCAGCCCACCCTCACTGCCACAAGCCAGCAAACATCCTGTGCCCACTGAGCATGCTCAGCCCTCAATTGGGGGGTGTTTTGGTCAGGGAGGGGAATGCTCTCTTCGATCTTTTTTGTCTTACTGCAAACCTCAGCTTCTATTTCTGCAAACCTGACGCATCTGCCTTATGTATGGGTGGTGGTGTTTTGGCTACTTAAAGACCGGCACTGGGAGAATTGAGGATGTGATTAGTAAATATGATGGCAGTCATTTTTTCTAATAGGCAGCAGTAGTTTTTTTGGTTATTAAACAGTAAACGTTCTCGCCCTTCTGTCGATATCTCAAAAGGGCATCTTCAGTTGACGTTTTTGGAGACATGCAGATTTGTTTCAATGTAATTGCTTTGCCACTAAATCAATTGGTTAAAAGTCTAATTAAATCTGGGGGGGGGGCAGGGATGGACGGACCCAAAAGCCCCACAGAAGATGCATTTGCTGCTGTGTTCTGCAGGATTTCCCTTGCTTTGAGGTTTTAAAAGGGAGAGGTTCGCCTATGGAATGGGTTTGCCTAACGGGAATAAATCTATGCTTTATATAATCTTCATTTTAATGGTCGTGATATCTAAGTGCATGTCTTCCCCCGGTGCCAATAAAAAATGATTTACAAATTCTCTGTACCTTGGTTGGCTTCTAAACAGCAAGATCATGCTACGGATGCGTGTTAAGAAGAAGAAAAATGAGCATAATATGGCCTATCAGGTGGTTTCTCTTTTTACTCGTGACTGCAGAATTGGGAGGAGAGAAACAGATAGATGGGGAGGCAGAGATGAGGGATGGATTCTCATAAACATACGGCCCAAAGGTTAAGCTAAAGCAAGGGTGGAAAACTCTGAGGGCCACAGTCCCTTCTGGGTAGCCTTCCAGGGGCCACATGCCAGACTGGAGGACAGGGCCAAAGGCAAAACTGGACAAAGTAATGGATGCCAATTTTTACCTCTAAAGGGACCCCTGACCGTTAGTTCCAGTCACGGACGACTCTGGGGTTGCGGTGCTCATCTCGCTTTATTGGCCGAGGGAGCCGGCGTACAGCTTCCGGGTCATGTGGCCAGCATGACTAAGCTGCTTCTGGCTAACCAGAGCAGCGCACAGAAATGCCGTTTACCTTCCCGCCGGAGGAGTACCTATTTATCTACTTGCACTTTGACGTGCTTTTGAACTGCTAGGTTGGCAGGAGCCGGGACCAAGCAACGGGAGCTCACCCCGTCGCAGGGATTCGAACCGCCAACCTTCTATTCAGCAAGACCTAGGCTCTGTGGTTTAACCCACAGCACCACCTGCATCCCTTACCTCTCTCCTTTACGGTTTTATTAAAAAAATGGGGGGGAAAGGAGATGTGGCAAGGACAATGTCTCTCTGAAACATATGTTTGTACAGTGTTCTATACTTCTATACTTACTAAGTTTGGAAAGAAGACTGCATAACTATGACTGCAGAAAAGTTAAATCTTTCAGCAGATAACATTCTTTTGAACTGTATACCTCTTGTATTGAAGTTAGCAACAGGGCAACGAAAATGCATTCTATGCATCTAAATGGTGGCCAAGACTGATACTGATGAATTTGAAGAATAAAGATATGATACCCTTTAATCAATGGATCAACAGCATGACAACACTCGCAACTTATGAATGAGCTGCCTACAGACGGAGACATTGTTTGGATAAATATGACAACGTTCGAAATGAGTTTATACAGAATGTAGTAGGCTATTAATATCTACATATGTATTACGATCATAACACCATATCAATTTACTGTATTTACTCGAGTCTAATGCGCCATCGAATCTAATGTGCACCTCAATTTCCAGAACCTTGAAACAAACAAGCAAAGCATTTGCTGGTGAATGTAAATGTGCCATCAAATCTAACGCGCACCTTAGTTTTCACAACGTAATTTGGCCAAAAAAGGTGAGCATTAGATTTGAGTATAAAAGAATGTGTGGGAGTATATTACATTGTATTTTGTGTCTCTCTCTGTGTATGTATATACGAGAGAGTGTGTATTTTCACTTTTTGAAACAACGCGAGAACCAAAACTCAGCCCTCTTTTGAAATTTGCCCTTAACTGAATGTGCTTCTCCAGCCAAACAGGGTTCACAAACTGTATGTATTAGGGGAAAGTGTACATGACCAGCATGGCATAGCGGTTAGAGTGTTGGACTGGGACCTGGGAGATCAGAGTTCAAGTCCCTGTACAGCCATGAAGCTCGCTAGATAAACATGGGCCAGTCAGATTAAACAATAATTGCACTACAGTGGTACCTTGGTTTTCAAACTTAATCCATTCCGTAAGTCTGTTCCAAAACAAAAGTGTTCCAAACCAAGATGTGCTTTCCCATAGAAAGTAATGCAACATGGATTAATCCGTTCCAGACTTTTAAAAACAACCCCGAAAACAGCAATTTAACATGAATTTTACTCTCTAACAAGGCCATTGATCTGTAAAATGAAAGCAATAAACAATGTACTGCAGTCGCACAATCAATCAGTCAGTAGCTGAACTGGGTTCCACACAGTCACAAAAACAAAACAAAAAGAGCCTCAAAAATAAAAACGCAAAAAAATAGCAAAAACAGACAGACCTCAGCATAACACTCAAAACGGAAGTGTGGCACTCAAAATGGAGCACTTTTGGCTTCCAAAAAAAGTTCGCAAACTGGAACACTTACTTCCAGGTTTGCAGTGTTTCGGTTCCAAGTTGTTTGAGTACCAAGGCGTTTGAAAACTAAGGTACTACTATACTTCAAAAAATCACTCCCAACAGTGTGAAGGAGGTCAAAAAAGAGGAATCATGGGCCAATTAGGGGCTCCCTGAAAAATCCCACTTGGCCCTTTCAGCAGGTAACTGACAGAGTCCATACTGCATAGGGAGGGCACTGCAAAGGAGTAAGAGATACAAGTTGTTGTTGTTGGCCAATTTGCTCACCCACACCTCCTCCAAACTCCACCCAAAGCAAAACCAAATGAGTGCTCCTTTGGGGGAAACAGGGTATGTGGCAGATTGCCTGCCCCCCCCCCGCCCCAAGAGTGGGAACAGCACTGTTGCAGAAGCTCCAGACTGGTGGGGGGTTTTTTGTTTTCACAGAGGGGTGTATTCTGCCATATATCATTGACACAATAATGGTGCATTTGTGAAGGATTTATTTTGGACAATGGCCACAGGGGCGGCCTAAGGATCTCTCCAGCACTCAGACAGGCCCTGCCTGGCATATTCACACCCAGCCTGCTCCTAGACTTGTCTTTTCCCCCTTCCTTTCTTAACTCGGCGCATTAAGCAGCCCTTATCAAAGATTTACGACCCTCTTCAGAAGAGCTTTGCCTCGCCGTTATTAACGGAGGAGCCCGCGTCCTCCAAGGAACGTCGAGACTCCCATCTGCAACGCGCCCGACATCTGCAGATGCCATTGTCAGGCAGATGCACCGCCGAGATGGGCAGGGTGCCCGACGGCTGAGCTGGCGCAGAAAGACTTTCTGCTGAGTCACAGGGCAGCCTGCTTGCTGGCATTGCAGCACAGCCCTGGGAGGATCAAAGGTCTCTGGGCATGCACAGAGTGTTTTGGCATGCCACCAAGCAAGCACGGTCCTTCCCAGTCTTACACATCCACGTCCTGAGTAATATAATAATAATTTATTATTTATACCCCACCCACTCTGGGCAGCTTCCAACAAAACACTAAAATACAATAACCTATTAAACATTAAAAGCTTCCCTAAACAGGGCTGCCTTCAGATGTCTTCTAAAAGACTGGTAGTTGTTGTTCTCTTTGACATCTGGTGGGAGGGTGTTCCACAGGGCGGGCGCCACTGCCGAGAAGGTCCTCGGCCTGGTTCCCTGTAACTTGGCTTCTCACAGTGAGGGAACCGCCAGAAGGCCCTCAGCGCTGGACCTCAGTGTTTGGGCAGAACGAGCAAAGGAACTGTAATCCTAGACCTGCCCATCACTCTATTCTAAGCTCAGACTTATGTTTCCTTGTCCTGCTGCAGTGAGAAGATAGACTTGCCAAGGGAGGAGGATGTGAACGGTGTCTTGCCCAAGGGCTCGCCAAAATCTCAAGCCAACACCAACTAGATGGACCTACAGATGGATGGATCGGTCTTATTTCTGTTCCCTGTTTATTGTTTATTCATAAGTGCTTATGAAGAAGAGCTGTAGCTCACTGGTAGAGCATCTGCTTTGTGTGCTCTGCCCTGGCATCTCCAAGGGGGGCTGGGAGAGACCTTTACTTGAGATCCTGGAGAGCTGCTGCCAGTCTGTGTTGGCAATACTGAGCAAGGTGGACCTGGTGGGCTAACTCCATATAAGGCAGCTGCCTACTTCCCCAAGACTGGTTTCCATATCATTCTGCAAATTTCTTATTTTTTGAAACCACCCAAAATCTCACATTTTTAGTGCGCCATATAAGTGCGAAAGGAACATTTCGTTCAAAGATTACCATAATAAAGGACAAAAGTGGTAAGGACCTAACAGAAGCAGAAGACATCAAGAAGAGGTGGCAAGAATACACAGTGGAATTATACCAGAAAGATAGGGATGTCTCGTACACCCCAGGTAGTGGGGTTGCTGACCTTGAGCCAGACATCCTGGAGAGTGAAGTCAAATGGGCCTTAGAAAGCACTGCAAATAACAAGGCCAGCGGAAGTGATGGTATTCCAGCTGAACTATTTAAAATTTTAAAAGATGATGCTGTTAAGGTGCTACACTCAATATGCCAGCAAGTTTGGAAAACTCAGCAGTGGCCAGAGGATTGGAGAAGATCAGTCTACATCCCAATCCCAAAGAAGGGCAGTGCTAAAGAATGCTCCAACTACCGCACAATTGCACTCATTTCACACGCTAGCAAGGTTATGCTTAAAATTCTACAAGGAAGGCTCAAGCAGTATGTGGACCGAGAACTCCCAGAAGTGCAAGCTGGATTTCGAAGGGGCAGAGGAACCAGAGACCAAATTGCAAACATGCACTGGATTATGGAGAAAGCTAGAGAGTTCCAGAAAGACATCTACTTCTGCTTCATTGACTATGCAAAAGCCTTCGACTGTGTCAACCACAGCAAACTATGGCAAGTTCTTAAAGAAATGGGAGTGCCTGATCACCTCATCTGTCTCCTGAGAAATCTCTATGTGGGACAAGAAGCTACAGTTAGAACTGGATATGGAACAACTGATTGGTTCAACATTGGGAAAGGAGTACAGCAAGGCTGTATATTGTCTCCCTGCTTATTTAACTTATATGCAGAATTCATCATGCGAAAGGCTGGGCTGGATGAATCCCTAGCCGGAATTAAGATTGCTGGAAGAAATATCAACAGCCTCAGATTTGCAGATGACACAACCTTGATGGCAGAAAGTGAGGAGGAATTAAAGAACCTTTTATTGAGGGTGAAAGAGGAGAGCGCAAAATATGGTCTGAAGCTCAACATCAAAAAAACGAAGATCATGGCCACTGGTCCCATCACCTCCTGGCAAATAGAAGGAGAAGAAATGGAGGCAGTGAGAGATTTTACTTTCTTGGGCTCCATGATCACTGCAGATGGTGACAGCAGCCACGAAATTAAGAGACGCCTGCTTCTTGGGAGGAAAGCAATGACAAACCTAGACAGCATCTTAAAAAGTAGAGACATCACCTTGCCAACAAAGGTCCGTATAGTACAAGCTATGGTTTTCCCAGTAGTGATGTATGGAAGTGAGAGCTGAACCATAAAGAAGGCTGATCGCTGAAGAATTGATGCTTTTGAATTATGGTGCTGGAGGAGACTCTTGAGAGTCCCATGGACTGCAAGAAGATCAAACCTATCCATTCTGAAGGAAATCAGCCCTGAGTGCTCACTGGAAGGACAGATCCTGAAGCTGAGGCTCCAATACTTTGGCCACCTCATAAGAAGAGAAGACTCCCTTGAAAACCCTGATGTTGGGAAAGATTGAGGGCACAAGGAGAAGGGGACAACAGAGGAC